ATACCCAGGTAAGCCTGCTCAGGGCTCGGCTCCCTACCCAGTATATCATGCTGTAGACATTGTGGTGTTACTATTCCAATTTGGAAGATTTATAATTCAGCAGCTATCCAGATTCTGAGAAATGCACTTACCAAAACCCAGAGCTAAGGGAAATACAACATGTGAAGTAAGCACGGTGGCACTGAGAAGGAAGGAAATCTCCCTGCACTGCACTGATAAAAGCATAAAAGATATACTGTGTTCAAGCTGGACAATCTGCAACTTGGAAAACACAGGCTAGATGAAGGAAATTCAGCTCAGAGGCCCTCGGGACTGAATCAGTCTGTTAAAATGCTTTGTTGGTTTTATTTATCACTACTTAATTAGGATGCTTGACCAACACACTGGAAAGATAGCAACTGTTAAATATTCAACAAGCTGACCTTTCAGTTACAATATTACAATTCTGAATAAAGTTCATGGAAAGTTTGTCCTTCCTAGGTACTCCAACAAAGCCAAAGGGAATGAGACTGGGCCAAAAAAAAGAAAAAAAAAAAAAAAAAAAAAAAAAAAAAAAAAAAAAAAAGAGTAAGAAAAAAGTAGGGCAGTACTGTGGAGACCTGCTTAAAAATCCAAGTCTTGCCATAGGCTCATTGAGTGGTCTTGGGCAAGTTGTTTCCTGCCCTGTGCTTCAATTTTACCCATCTGTAAAAAGAGTACAACAATGCTGACCTTCCTTGTAAATTGTTGAGATGAATAGCTAGAGAAGCAGTAAATACGTTATTAATTACTTATTACTATTTCTGAGGAAGAAAAAGCAAAGAGAAGAAGCCATTAATCTTTCAGAGTTTTCTTGATCCTCATAAAAAATAAAAAAAGCATGACATTACACGAATTTCGTGCAATAGAAACTTTTGATAAGTCACCTTTAAGAAGAAATAGTGGGTACACAATTAAAAGAAAGTTTAAAGTGAGCAAACACTCAGGAAAATGCTCCAGATGATAAAATGAGTTAGGCTGCAGAACAGGCTCCCACAGGAAGCGGTGAAATCCCCATTGTTTGAGGCATTTGAAACTGAGTTCTTCAAAGTGCTGGTATTTATAATACAAGAGGTCATTCTGCACTGCCTCAAAGTATAGCAGCATTGGGATGGCCTGAGAGAACTTCACCTGCCATTTATCCAGTTTTAAGAGGATTCTTGATGCTTTGACTATGGAGAGCTGTAGACTCTCTTTTTACCAATATCCTACTTGAGGGAAATCTGCCAGAGAGTAACTACACTGTGTTTTTGCAGGAGATGGATTTACCAATCCTTAACAGATCCTTCACATTCGTACTTCTGATGTCTGAACTTAAAGTGTCCAACAGGGGAAAAAAAGCCCCCCATTCTCTGAGAATTATAGTGTGCATCCTACTATTTATTTCCTGTATTACCATCTAAAGAGAAACTGGGTGGCTAGATTTTTACAAGCAGTGGTTTGCAGAAGAAATACCATGATTTTAATGGGAACCAAATGAGTAATCATTACGTAAATGGCATTATGAGACACAGAACTGATGCTGAAATGTTAAATGCTTGGGTCAAACTTCTCAAAATGGGAACTGGCAATGGCATGCTGGAACACTGGGGTTTCTTCACACTCAAGATACTACTGCAGACATTTCCCACTGCTGCTAACGCTGGATCAGCTCCTCTGGAGATAGCTGTGGAGGGCATCTGACTGCTTCTGCTGTTACTAGCTTTAAATCTTAAGACCTTCTCTGAAACCCAAATTCAGAGCTTTGGGCCAGTTTTATTGATAGAACTTGGTTAACTGGTTGGATCAGGGAGAGCAAGAAAACTTCTTGAAAGAAGCTAGAATTAGAGTTTTAAAACCTTCATTTCCTCTTGATTTCATACCTGCTAGTATACAAAAATAAGATGTTAATTGATTCAGTTGGTATATGGGCACTAGTGATCCTGTCTTACTCTATTCACTTGGGCAGGACAGCCACGGAGTGCTCCTGATCCCTCTCAGCCCTTGGACAGGAACGCTGTGCCCGGAGCAGCAGGGCTGTGCACCCCCTTGTGCACGCTTTGCCTGCCGCCTCTGCAGAGGAGGGCCGGCACTGCCTGCATGCTGCCCTGTTCCTGGCCAGAGACGCAGCAATTTCCTCAGGAATGAATCATGGACAAAAACCCAAACAACAGCTATTTAAGAAGTTTTCTTCTCCCCCCGCACTGTCCTCACCAGTATCATATTCCTGACAGTTTATTCCTCAAGAATTTAGTCATCTAAGGTTTCAATGACTCATGTCATGAACCTTCCACCCATTTCCTGGAAAGAGTCTTGCAAGGTCCTCTACACCTCTTGTCATTTTCCTTGAGGGTCTCAGTTCTCACAACATTTTTATACAGTTCAGCTTTCCTTCATTTTTGGGGTAGAGGGGGGAAGTAAAAATACCTTGAGTGCACCCAAATTTACAGTGTAACCAGAAAGCAGTGTGGTGAAAAATATTCAGAAAACAAAGACAGGCACTGAACCAGAGAATCTTTTTTGGAAGTAGTTGCCTCTTAGGCTGAAATCTGGTTAGAAGAAAAGGAGCTGCTCTATAAAGTGCTGTGTGGTCCAATACAGTCATGAATTTACCAGGGCTGTACCCTGTAAAATGAAAATGAGAAAGATTTGAGGGCTCTCTCAGATCATTGCCTGGGTAGGTGTGACTCACCCTGGGCAAATGCCACTGATGACAAATACCCTGACAAAAAATATTGAATGAATTGGGCTGGATGGGAACCAAAGTAATCATTTTACATACTTGGGCCAATCTGAAAGACACTTCTGTGTAGAAAACAACTGCTTCCTTTTCCTGATGAAAGTTCAAAAGCTGCTCACAGACAGCTTGAAGGATACTTCAGCAAACTCTGATCCCAGTGGTACTGTGCCAACAGCAGACAGCTTCCCGGACATCAGTGATGCCTACACCATATACCTCCTAGCCCAGTTAAGTTACAGTTAAAATGGGGAGTAAGGGTTTAGTGTTTTTGTTAAAATATCAAGAAACACCTGAGAGTGTGAGCCCATCAACTCATTACCAAAGGGTGAAACAGCTCAGCAGCAGTGCCAGCGCGTGCTTACAGACCTACCCCTTCCATGTCTCAGTCAGCAGAGTGAGCATCCTGACGTACACTAACATGCAGTTGAGATAGTTGAGGAATTTGCAGATCTGTCTGCTGAAAGGACCAGCATATCCAGCGTTCTTGTAGGATTATTTCAGTGCTCAATTATACCAGTGTAACTGGTATGTATACTGGTGTGTGTGCATATATATATATATATATATATATATATATATATACACACATATATACACACACACATGTCAATATATATATACTGACAGGCATCAGAAGCCTATTCCCTTTAAAGGGATATGGTGTCAGGCCAAAGTTGGCCCAACATTCTTCTTATTAAACAAAAATAAACTTCTACAAGCCCTGATTCCACCAGAAATGTTTCCGTGATTTATTTTAAGAAGAGAACATTCCCCTGCAGTGTTCACCACAACCCAAACATTGCAGCACTGTGCAAGAGCATGAGAATGGGAGAGGACACTTTAGGATCTATTTTCACTGCTCCTGAAGAGAAATAAAAAAGTAAACAAACAGAAAAAGCAGTGACAAATAAATTTTATTTTAGTGGTACCTGTATTGTTATCTATAGGATGGCTAAGGAGAGCAGACTTGAAGTGTGCAGGCTCTTCCAGTGATTCCTACAGGACATGTGACTAAGTGTGTGATGGGGACTTGTGGGAGCCATCTACACTGTAAGGAAGAGATTTATTTTTCTTTGGTTGATCCTTCCTGCTCCTCACACTTTGCCTTTCACATCTGAGAATCTGAACAGCAGACTAGAAGAAATTGCCTCACTGTTTTCAAAGCTAGATAATCTGGGCAAGCTATCCAGAGAACATCTGTGGAAGAGCTCTTAGATGCTTGGAAGTAATGGGAAGAATACTTCCTCTAAATATCTGGAGCCTTCTGTTCTACAGAAAGGGGCACCAGCTCTCAGTGCTACTGCTTGTTTCTTTGCTCAAATTTGCAAAAAGCAGCAAGCATTAGAACTAAAAAAGGGTATATGTTGAGAGAAAGAACTAATAAGGAAGCACATAGTTTCCTGACACAGCTATTGACTGCATGCACACGCACACGCATGCAGACATGTACACACAGCACACAGCTCCTTAGTCTGAAAGGTCTGCGTACTGAGGAGAGAGAAAAAAAAGTGAGTGAATCTTATCCAGAAGGGACTATATAGACTGATCTTGTGGCAGATTAGTGATTTCACCAGAAAGTTTTTGGAAGCCATAAACAGGAAATGGTTAAGTAAAAACAGGTGGAACATGCTGATTGCAGGAAAAACGCAGGAAATTGCTGAGTGTCTGAATGGATGCAAAAAAAATGCTCTTCTGCGCAGGCCTTGGCAGTCACTGTACATTTACTCTGCTTTCTCCCGGTCCTCCCTCAATACCCTTATCTCCCCAAACTGCAAAGTCTCAAAGTCTGCAAACACCTTTTGCTTGAGTAATCTGCTCTCCTTGAATTTTGAAACCAGTTCAGGAGAGTTGGGAGGTTCTGCTTCGAAGGCAAAAGACAAGAGGGGACTCACCTACTTTGACAAGGATGAGTCAGAAGCACCCAGCAGTACCCACTGCCTGCCAGGGCCTTCAGGTGAGCCAGAACAGCATCTTGGCTACTACCACAAATGTTGAGTTCCCAAGTGTATTTAGCATAATAGTTAATCAGAGAAACATTACTCCTATTGCCCCTTCTATTCAAGGGGACTCCCAAAGCACTAAGCTGTAGAGATCATTCTCCATCTCTACTGAAACACAGTCCCTTCTGGGACAGAGCACTGCAGCTGTTTAATAGCTCACAGCAACATCACACAAGCAGATGGAAAAGAAAGTGAAATGTGCAAGAGGCATTCTTTCCACTTTCTTTCTAACCCTTCTTTTCTCTCCTCTTTGTCCACAGCAATTTGTGCCAATTCTAGACAACTCCAGATGTGTGTCTTTCCCACCAGTATCTGCAGAGACTTGGCCCTGGAGACAGACTTACGCTTGCCAACAGGCAGCCTCCCTGTGCTTTCAGACCCAAGGGTCGAGTTCCTGCTGCCACACTCTCATCCCTGGCTGTGCTGCCAGATGTGCTGCAGGATGGAGGGCAGACGTGCTGGTAAGGAACAATTCTGCTTTCTTCTAGACGAGTATGGTGTTGATATAAAATTATTTAGCATAGACAAGACACTCTTGCCTTCAAAGTATACTAAACAGTCACATTAATGATCTGAGGAAAGTTAAGAAAGAAGTACATGGATTAGTTTGATCATTTTGATCTTGTCCACATTTTAAGTATTGGATGGTAAAGCTGTGTTGGCAAACTCTGCTCTTAGATATTTTTCCTCCTCTCCTAGAATTAAAATCTATATCTTATATTCTGACCAAAGAAAACACTAATGGCAAACTGGCTTCTATGTAGTTACATCTGCAAAAACAAAAAGTTTTTTCTGGCAGCGAAATCTTGCAAAGAAATCCTGATCTTTTTTTGACGTTGTTATTTTGGCCAAACTTACGAGGTCTTATTGCAAGTTCAAACATAAGCTGCCTTTTCTATATCTTTTAAAACAGCGAGCTACTATATACAACCTAATATTTTTGAAGTTCAAATTCCTAAATCCTAGTCTAGACAGAGCCTTTGAGAGTAAGGTTCAAATTCACCCTGAGCAGTCATCAATATCCCACACTTCTGCCCAGGTCATACCTTCCTGGGAATGTCCCGAGAAAAGCTGTGATCAGACTCTGGCACTCTATACTGCCACTCCCATGGAAGGAGAGAGGGGGCACTGCCAGGGAGTGGTTGGTGTGAAACCTTCTGCAAGCACTACCACACTCCTCTAAGATGCCATGGGGCATAAGTGCACAGAGAGGATGTGTGCTATCAAATTCAGGTGGATGACAGGACAGCTTCAGAGAGCTAAACCTTGGCACTGACCTTTGGGAAAAACCAGTCTGTGATTCATACTGTGATTCATACATCTAAAAAACTGAGAGAAAATAATTGGAATGAGCTGAACAAAAATAAACAGGTGTCTCTTTCCTGTTCCTTTCACAGTTTCTGCTTCCCTGCACTCTCACCCACTTTTTTTTCCCACTTAAGTTGTTGAGAAAAACAGCAGGAATGAGGTTCCTGGTATAATTACAGTTTGCTGACAAAATAGCAGCCTGCAGCAGTGATTCTTTTACTGCTAGAGACAGATGTTGCTGAGGTCTAATCACAGTCTTCCCACTAACCAGGCCCTGAGTCTAATCTGTCATCAGCTGAGAGGCCGCTGGCTCCCGCCGTGCCTGTGAACCGAAGCTGCTCTGTTTGTTCCTCTCCCCTCGTCCTGAGCCAGGCAGTGCCAGAAGGAGGGTATGTTTCCATTCACTCCTTGCCCTTGATACTACAGCGATACGACAACTTCAATGTGCTGCTTATCTCTCCTCCATGCCTACTATCAGGGCCTTTCAAAGCCTCGCTGGAAAGCGCTCAAGTGGTTGTTTTCAACTTGCAGTGCATAGTGACTGCAGTTCAAAAATAAATTTAAGCTAAGTTGAAGGAGAGGCTTAATGAGAACAGCCTGTAGCTAATTCCTCCTTCCAAAATGTATGGTATTTTCTGCTTATTAAGAGAACAAGGCTGCACTCAGTGATGGATCATATAACCTCCGTATGTTAATAACAACAAAACCCAAAAGCTGATGAGCACAGAATCAGGAGGAAGAGAGAAAAGCAGAACTGGGTATACTGAAAAAAGTCAGGAAACAGAATACATGTGGGAGGAGACTGAACAAATCTCTCCTATGTGTTACACAGAGATGCCATTGCCATCAAATGTTTTGTATCTGACATTCAAAGTGCATCAGACCACATCTTTGAACTTCTCTGTGCTAGTGAAAGAATCTTGAAAAACAACAGACGTCACCAGCTCAGAAGTGCCCCTGTCAGACAAAAGTCACCATGGTACTGGATTAACATCTTTAAATTGGATTCTGGTCATGGAAGGAAACTGGCTGAAGAAGTCTGTTTCAAAGGCATGTTACTGCAGCATGAGTGAATCAGTGAGAACTAGGGAAGTTCTTAAGCTGGTACCCACCTTACAGCATCTGTACAGTTAACAAGTGCCCTGAAGTAGCAGAGGAGACGCTAGGTTGGGGAGGTGTGGACTAAACATCTGTGTTTCGCATAAGTAGCTCTTAAGCAAGGCATAAAGGAACAGAGTAGGTCGTAATTTCTGGTCAGGAGGAAGGGCATATTAAACAAGCTGACTTTCTGTAGCAGCCTGTGGCCAACTCAATTTCTTCTTCAGCTTTTTCTGAATCTGAAGTATGGTAGCTGGGCACACAGTATAATACTCACCAGATCTCGCCAGTAAAAGTGTTACAGAGCAGCATCTCAGCCACTGACAGACCGAGAGAAACAGAAAGCACAGCACGATGAATCAGAAAAGAGGGAAGGAGTGACTCATACAGGAAGAAAAACAAAGCAAAGATGAACACAGAGCATAAGCGAAGCGGCAGACTGTTGGCTGTAAATCAGTTTTCTTGCACTCAGAAGGGTGGGCATTATGATGAGAGAAGCTGTACTTGACAGCAATGGAAGTCCAAGGAAGTTTGATTAAGATTAAATGGCAGTCACAGGCCAAAATAGAAAAGAGGCTCTAAGGTTAAAATAAAGATAGGAAGTGACTAAGTAGGTCAGAAACTGTGGGTAATGAGCCGCATAGATTAAGTGGGACTTGGAGCAACTGAGGTAGCCCTGCTAATGATAAGTGATAACACTTACAATGTCACCAAGTTTAACAAATCTGACTCTGAAACCACCTTCAAGGCCTAGATAGCAAATCAGAGATTGCTGAGTCCTAATAGTATCTATATCAGAGTAGATCCTGTATGTGTTTTAAAAAGAGATCAGTTTTACAGTCACTTTTTGACCTTCCCAAGCTTCCTGTAAATAGTGTGCTGTTTTGTCTGAACAGGATTTCTTCTTAAGGAGCTGGGAAAAATGAACCGACTAATAGAAATGGTGAGACTGAGATTGGCTACTGCAGGTTGAAAAGACAGATGCAATGGAGAAACTCCTTTCCACTCCTCAATTCAATAAGTCTTTGATTCGCTAGCTTTGTTCACATCCAGGGCAGCCAGAAGAGAACAGTCACCTTGTATTTTTGTACCTGATGAGAAAACTCCAGATTGTATGTGTGCACTGGGACAGTTCAATGTGTGTCTATTCCAACTTCAAAGAGGCTTTCAATGCTCTTTGAGATGTAGGGTGTGAGGAAGGGTGAGAACTGCTAAAGCTAGCCACATCCTCATTAAATCTTTGCCCTCTCGGAGCAAGCATGCAAGTGGAGAGAATAGATGATATGCATGAGCAACTGAGCATCTGTGATCTCATGACCTTTGACTGTTGTATTATGGGAAATGTATTCTTTGGTTGCTATGCTTTTCTAATTCATTTGTATTTTCCTTCAGTGACTCCCTTGTATTTTCTTTGGTGCTCCCGTGTAACGGTTTCAAGGAACTACAGATATCTCCAAGTTAAGCATGCATACAATAGCTTTAATTAAATGTTTGTGAGTATCCCACAGTAAAGCAAGGGAAAGCAAACAGTTTTGTACGCACTTGTACCTATCCCTTCTGAGCCCTGGCTGGGGTGGAGGCGTTTGCACCATTGCCCTTTAAGTCTATTTCCAAGCTGTGAAATGAAGGCAATCAGGTCCCACTGCTCTGCACGTAAGCGCTTCAGGAATTTCACTCCCATTAAAAAGCTACAGATCACCTGTGAAAGGTACAATGCTAAAACCTTTCAGACTAGGCAAGAAGAAATAAAAATAAATTAGGGGAGATGTTTCATTACTCCACTTACAAAACAGGAGAATGAGGCTAAAAATATCCTTAACAATTTCTTAAAATACACTAAAATGCTGTAGGGAAGAGTAGCATGAAAGTAAAGGCATTGGTCTTCAATACTCTGAAATCAATCTTTTTTATTCTCTGTGTCATTGGCAGAGTCTCGGTGCCACCCTTCATGACAGATGATGAGGATGATGATGATGATGATTATTTTAGATGGGGATCTTTGCTTCTTTTACAAGTAGTTAACTACATTTTTTATGTATAGAAGAAAGCTGCAATGAAATTTGTTTTCATTTCAGGCATTTAAAATACATATACATGAGGTAAATGAAATTTGGAAGGGGAACTTTCATCATGCAAAGATGGAGGAATAAGAAACAGAATGCAAAGGTTATTTGTCAGTTCTTTTGAGTCAAATACAAGACAATTTTACAGCATGTAAAGTAGTGAGTCTGTTTAGAGGAAGAATCTTTCTTTCTCTTGTATGATATGGAAGAGTTTGCGGTATCTGCAAGGATAACCAAGAGGCCTAACACTAGTGATTACTGCTAATGCATAGGAATAGTATGAAGTACTTCTCTTAAGTTTTTCAGTGACTGACATCACTATTATTTCAGAGTTGATATAAAGTAATTTTAAAACACTTTGACCTAGCTGTACATATTTTATTGCAAATCTGTCCATTACTTCTCAGTGGCTCCCAGAGACAACATACATCAGAAAATACAAGTATAATTGTAAGAGAATAAAGAACCCATGCTTCTAACACTGACTGGGGCTATTTCCCCACCTGATACCAGAGGCATTGCCAGTTTTTGCAGTCTGATGTGCTGGATTTGGATGGAGGCTGCGCAGAGCAGGGGCTGGCCTAGGTTTGCTGGAGCTTGAGCAGCAGAAAGGGAACAGAAAGCATGGGTTGTTTCCCTCACATAGCAAGGCACGAACAACAATAGGGTTATCTGAGAAGATTGAGAACTGCTGACATTAGAAACATGAACTGGCAGCTGCAAAGAAGAGTAGGAGTGGGATGAAAAGCAGTCCCACAAAGTGAAGGAGGAAAGGAGGCCAGGGAGGATCTAAAATTGGGAGCAGCTAACAAATGTTGACAGAGATGTCTTTCCTCAAGGGCCTGATCCTAAGCACATTCAGGCCAACTTAAAGATTTCTACACAGATTTTTGAGATACCTTTCGTGAAGATTTCTGCTCTTTGCCCCTCTCTTAAGATATAGTCTGCAATTCAGCTGCATCTTCAGGAAATGGTTCTGAAAAATACACTTAGTTTTGATGATGGCTGAGAGTAAAGAACATTTATTCTGAGGGTTGTGTGAAGAAGGATTTACACTTCACCCTCCTTCATCTCTGCCATGTCTGACTGATGCCTGTATTCCAGCCCATCAGTTCGGATAACCCAGCGACTGTTGCAAGAATGGTGCACAGAGGGCATGTTTTGTTTTCCCTCTGGGAACTTTAAGGTAGGCCTTAGCCAGTGACTATAGAAGCCTTGCACGGCCTGCTGTTGCCTTTCCAAGTTTCTTATTCAATAGCACATTTTTTTTCTTATTTTTAAATGCTTGCTGGAGTCTTAAGACATTTTTAACTTAACAATAAAACACCTGCATTTTATTAAGACTTGAGACTTAAGTTCCTCCTCCCTCAGTTTTACTGAAGTGTTGCCATTACTTGGGTTAACTCTTTCATAGTCAGTTTTGCTGTGAAAGTGAAGTTACATATCTGCTACATACAACCCATTTCCACAGTCCTACACTCTATTTGGAGGAAAGGAAAACCAGCTCTGAGACAGACCCAGAGAGCTCCATCCAGTGCTGACTGGCAAGGGGTGCAGAACCCCTAAGCAACAGCTGCAGAGGCTACACCCTGCTTAGCACAAGAGCCCTGCAGTAACACGTCTGCTGGCAACGTAAAACTTTAAACTGAAACGTCCTTACCAGCCACTTCTGTTTCAAGAGTGAGATCTCTTGAGTTGTACCGTAGAAACTCCATTAAACTAAATGGAAAAATGTATTATTTTCACTGTTCCTTCCCTTTTCTCATTGAATTGTCTTAAATGAGAAGCAGAACAGCACTGTACAGTGATTTTTATGCCTGGATGTCCAAGCGTGTTATTATCCCTATATTAAATTAGGAAAATGGCAGTGTGTTCCCAGATTCATGTAGCAGTTTAGTAGAAGGGCTGATAAATTCAGTTTTCAGTGTACTAAGCAACTGCCTTATTACCCAATTAATGTAACTTTTTGATAAGCAACTATTTGCCAAGCCCACTTCACACACATCACAGAAGCATTGCACTGCAAAGAGCAACAACTGCTAGCTATTTTACCAAGTATGATCACTGAAGACAGGAGACAGAAACTTAATGCAACCAGACAGGGACTGACGATCTGTACACCATCAGTTGTGATTCCATCTCTTTTGCTATCTATGTGTTTATGGGCACGTAAACTTATTTTTTTATGACTCAGCTTCCTATCTACGCAAGAGAGAGAGTAGTTCTTCACAGTCAGCAGGAGAATCAAGAGGTCATAGATTTCTGAGGTTATTCTGAGTTAGTCATTCATCTTAGGACTTTAGTGGCATAACACAGGAATAATTGTACTAATATGCACCAGATTTGCATGGAGATAACAGGTACATCAGAGGTTCAGAGGTTTGAAGACACTCAAATACCATGGCTACAGAGCCATACAAATTCTTAGAATAACCAGGTAGGTAGATAATTAGAAAAATATTAGTTGGTACCCAGTATATATTACCAGAATAATTAATTCAATAGGTTGTTATTATTTATTATACAGTCTGATGCATTAGAAACTGGTGTGATTTATACTAATACATCCCTACAACACTAGTATAGGAAAAACTATCAAATATAGTGGCACTCATAAAAGGAAATGTACAAAGTTTATGCTACTCTTGTAAACAAATAATTTCCATTCATTCATACATACCAGTATATGATTTCAAATCTGCATAGGTATCAATAATAATTAGAAATGGCCTTTATCATATGGCAGAGATAGTTTTAGGGACATAAAAAACTATTGCTATTGCATAGAATGTGATATGATGCGGAGATCCAGTAGACTGGCACATGTAGCAGTGAAAGTCATATTGTGTGAGAGTAGCAGACAGCCCCTACGACCTACTGCTAGCTCTGACCACGAAACAGGGAGTATATGCTTGTGTGCCCATGGAAGAGCACAGCTTGCCTTGCCTGCTATTTGGAAAGATAAAGGCTGAACATCATTTATAAAGGTAATTTATAACAGATTTTTTTACATTTGAGTGATGACTCTGAAGATTCTTACTTTTCCATTCAGTGTAACTATGCATAAACAATCATTCTGAATTGCTTTTAAAAGTATATGTAAACAGCCTTTCAAAGTCTCTCTTAAAACAAATTGGTGTAAATCTCACTTTTTTTTGAGTTTACACCCTTTAACTAGTATTAGGAAGCTATGATTTATATTGTTGTGTAGATCACATCTGCTCATAAGCTGTGGTTTGAAAACACTGCACATCTGTGGTATGAAATGTGTGCAAATTAGAGAATTATATGACATTACCAGTCACTTACATGCAAATGTAAGCAATGTATGCTTCATTTTCTGTGTAGTATTTGAAATCATGTTATTATGTAGCATAAACTACAATCATCTACTGTCTGCTTAGACAGCAATCCAAACAGAGATTTGTAATCCCTTTGCAATCATTTTCACACAGCCATATACTCATGTATCCCAGTCAGGAATGTAAGTTACAAACTGTTATGTGCCTTGAAGCATGCTTATGGCTCTTCTTTATAGGTGGCCTGGTCACCACACTCATTACTTTTGAGTAAATAAAAGGCAGCGTTTCATATTTTGGAGCTGAGCTTGTTGATAAAAGAGGTATTTTCTTTGCAAGCAATCTGGGAAAGCAGAGGTTTTTCAGCTTTACTTTCGTCATGTATTTGTGGCTTCTTTTTGAAGTTAGTACCAGATTGACCAGAGCCAGCACCTTATAATCCAGGATCTGGAAGCAGGCAATGGGAGCTGATATAGTCAATCAGTCAGTGTCTTGCAACATTATGAAGGGGGTTGTTCCCTATTACAGGTTTGCTGTATTTTTCTTCCTCACAGTGTCTCTAAAGAGAGTATCAGCAAGATTTTCTTCCTTCTGTTTCATAGACTTGTTCCTATTTTCATGTCTTTTTACATAAATTCTTTTAAAATCTAGAAATAGGAATGTTCTGCTTTCAATTTTAAGTTTACTTCTTTTTAGTCTTGACTGTATTTTACTTTAGAAAACTACTTCTAAAAAACTAATCAGAAGACCCAACACTACTTATAAGCACCATTAATGAAGCCTGACAAAACAATTGTGCAGAAGCTACTATCATCTTTACTTTTCATAATAAATTACAGATAAATGAATACATGACTCATCAAGGTTGTATAATAAATTAATGATAGCAGCTGAAAATGTAGCTTAGGAACTTTGACACCCACACTCCTGATAAAATGATATGCCCTGAAAATACCAGGACTGTCTCAGACCAACTGTAGCCTACCAACATTCCTCTCATATGACTGAAGCGTTTTTAGGCCATGAAAATTAAAGAAAAGGAAAAATAATGTAAATCAGTGTCTGACTCTACATTGTTTTCCCCTTCAAAGTTAAGACTTTTTCTTTTTCTTGTTTTAATTTTTTCTTACAGTAGATATTGGCAGACTAAAAGTTGAAATAAAATAGGAAAAAATAACAAGCATATTTTGAGTGATTACTCAGCTGGGGTCCTTTGTGACAGGAAATGCAGCTGTGTGACTAATGGGCCCGACTTTCTCTTGGCTTCCTTCCCCCTTCAAAGATCTTGTTTATTGCCCCAGCCAATTTTTTTTTTTTTTTAAATTGCTAGAAGCTAGAATTTTCCAGGAAAAAAAAAAAATCTTTGCAAGAGGCAAAGGCAGTAAATCTTACAAAGATCAAGGGCTGCAGAGCTCTCCCCCATCTACTCCTTTTAGCCTTCCAGGCTCTTGAGTCACGTCATATCTTCCCCCACTCTGCGCGGAACAT